ACGCGCCGCCCCCCCCGCCCCCCCCCAGCAGACCAGGGAGACGCAGAGCGGCTTTTCTCGCTGCAGAGGACGCGGGCGGCGGGACTGCGGCACATCTGGGCGGTCCTGCCACCCGCGTCCTCCTCGGCTTTGCTCCGCGTCTCCCTGGTCTGCTGGGGGGCCCACTCCCCGCAGCAGACCAGGGAGATGCGGAGCAGCTTTTCTCGCCCTGGAGGACACGGGGGGTGGGACCGCAGTGCGTTTGAGCGGTCCCGCCGCCCGCGTCCTCCGGAGCGAGAAAAGCCCCGTTCGTAAGTACGGATCCGACATAAGTCGGATCCGCGTAACCCGGGGACTGCCTGTACTGAAATGTATGATATTTTGACTTTTTGCCCTGATTTAAGATGGGAGGAAAAGATGTTGACATATCAGAATTTACTGCAGGATGGGAATTCCATTTTTTGATCAACTTCGTTTAGACAGTTGAGTTCAAATGCCTTTCCAAAAAATGGATTTCTGATCAGCACTGATTCTCCTATATGAGATTTTAAAATGGATGAGAATGTATATCTCTTCTGTTCCACTTTCAGTGGCTGTCTTGGTGGGATGTTAAAGAACCCCAATTAATCCACTTTTATGCCTAAAATCAAGCATATGCTTAAATCTTTTTAAAATTGCAGCCTTTAATAGTACGTGAAAGCCTTTATCATCTTGTTCCTTAATGAATGGTTTGAAAAATATGATAGGGATTGAATTCGAAATATTATTTAAAACTACAATTGCATTAATCATAGGGGGGAAGCAAGTACAGTCAGTTGCTCTTCCATGTGTGCATATGTGCATACACATCCCACCTGTTTTCATTTAAAAAGTAGCACAGACCATTGCAGGTGTTATATCACCCCACAAATAGCTTGCTGTCATGGATTTATTGCTTCTGAGTAGTGAACTTCTGCAGCTGCTGTTAAAAATTTAACAGACTTGTGTTTGTGAAACCATATTTGAGTATTTTAGTTTACTGTCCCAAAAATGCAGTGGTGCTGGTTTTATCTGCAGAGTGCATACAGAACAACTAATGACCTGACATTAGAGGTGCTGAGCACTTGGATTTTTCGTTGGTTTTCATTAGGACTTGCAGTTGTTTAGCATTTCTGAAAATCAAGTCAAATGTTTCTATATGACCTAAAATAATTATCTAGAGTAATTTTAAAATGGATTTTATCTGGGATGTGCGTGACAGTTGAAGCACAAATTGTTGGGGTAAAGATAGAAGTGCAGAATCCATCACCAGGCAGGCTTTAGTAGCGTGTTTTTGTTGGATTTTTGTCTGCACTGCATTTGTACGTTACCCTGGCAACGTTCTATTTTTCCTCCTGCAGAGTGGAAATCCCCTTCGTTTTCCAGATGATGCAGTCTGGGCTAATCCATGGTCTGGCTTTTTGGTTTGACGTCGCATTTGTAGGATCGCTGTATGTATTTTTTTATCACTCTCATGCAACATTAAATGCAAAAAAAATTGCCTCCTCATGGATGTAGGAAAGTGTGATATTACTCTAATGTTGAACTTGTCGTATTATTCCCAGTAGGCAGTACCTTCTTAAGGTACTAACCATGGGAGTAACAACACAGCACTGACATTGTGTGGTTTGGGATTACCCCATGTTACCTTATGTGGCATATGTTCTGGAATGGTGATAGCTTGGGATTTTTAAGTATTTTTTCTTTGAGGTGACAACCCCATATCTTTCTGCATGGAACCCATTCCTTAATTACTTTTCTAATTCAGTGTAACTACTTAGCATTATAGGGAGGAACAGGAACATGTGCTGTAATTGTTCACTTTGGACAAGATCTTGCTCGGGGGGGTGGCGACACACAGGCATCTCAAGAGAGCAGCTAAGACCTGCAGTGTTTGGTGCTGCTACTTACTATTCTGGAAAGTAAGTGGTAGAACTGCACAGGGGAAAAGAAGAGTAAATTCTTCCATATGAGAAAGAATGTCATCTTAGCTCTAACAAAAAATCAGGTCCTTTGGGGAAAGGGATATTTTTCTTTCAGATTAAATATCTTGGTACAAATTGGACACTTCTTTGGGAAACAAAGCATTATTACCAGATCCTGGGAAACTAAATCTTTAATTATTTGTTTTCTTTTAGTTGTAATTGATGAATACCCTTCATTAGCACCTAATATAAGGCTCACTGAAGAATGATTTTTTTTAATAATGTTACATTCCCTTAGTACTTTTTTAAAGTAGTAATTTACTTCAGAACTCAATTTTTACTGGCAAGTGGATTAGGAATAAAGCCTACTTTTAGCTCCATGAGACACAAAGCCTCAAAGAAAGATTCCAGTTATGTTGGAGTTGATTAAAGCATATCAATCAGACACCTCTATTTTGGTGTAGCATACAGCAGCTTGTCTGCTGACCAGCATAGACTGACAAGAGTGGGAATTTGATCACTGCATCAGATAACCATTTAAACATAGAGTCATGTTTAAATTCTTGTTCTTAGGATTCAGAGTTCTCCCTGGGCTGAATTGGGGATATGTCACAGGCTGTGACAGGCCCCTATCTTCACAATCACAGCCTCTTTAGATAGTTGTGGAAATCGCATTGTCCAGAGGCATCAAAGTTGGAAGCAAGGACAAAATCTCTGGTTGTTGGTTTATTGAAAGCACATGGATATTTTAGTTTAAACAAAAATGACAAGAAAAATCAAATAGGTTCTGTTCATTGTGCACATTTTTAACACACATTTCTTCTGCCTTTTTAACCCAAGAAAAAATATCTGCTAACTAATAATAGTTTATGAAGGAAGGAAAGAAGGCAGAATAATGACTGAATTCGTCTTTCATTCTGTCTTTCCTGTCCTTCCTCATCTTCTCACTGAGACAAACTACATCAGTACTAATCTTTCCAGTTTCCCTTTGGAAGAAGAAAATGTTCTCTCCCTCTTGCACTATCCATCCCATGGCATTCCAGGGATCTGTTTTACAAAACGGTATTTCAGTGAGAAGAAAGGGAATGGGAGGAAAGTCCTTCAAATTAGAAAAATAGCACATATCCGGCATCAGCAGTAGAGCCACCTTCCCCGCAGGACCACATGAAGCAGAGCTGTGATGTTACTTCTGGAGGAGAAGATGGGGCCAGGCCTCAAGGCAGCTATTGAGTACTTTTTAATTCAGTTGCTGCCTCACATGATCTGTAGGTTTTCAGGCTATGCCCTGATGCATGGCTGCCCATGCAAGATCAAACCTTAATTGCATGGGTCTTCCATACTAGATGGGAGGGTATGAGGTGTGGAGGTAGGTCTCTGGAATTTATAAATCAATAATTTAGCACTTTCCATAGCTTATTTATAGATTGTTTAAAGTGTATTACACATTCCTAAAATTCCCTCCCAAAATTGTGTTGCCTTCGAATAGAGCAAATGAGTGGGAGCCTATGTATTGTATTTTGTTTTAGGGTAACTGTTTGGTTATCAACTGCTCCGACGGAACCTTTAACTCATTGGTATCAAGTACGCTGCCTCCTTCAGACTCCCCTCTTTGCCAAAGAAGGAGAAACTCTCTCAGGGAAAGTCCTGTTTGTAGCGAATAAACGGTAAGTAGCAAAGCAACCCCAGGAGACTTCTCATTGCATGTTGCCTCTGTGACTGAGGTTCTCCAAAACGTTGCATCAGAATATACATAGTTTAGAAAGATCTGGAAATGGAAAAATCAAGCTGCACAAGGTCTGGTTTAGTGCTTCACCTCTCTACATCCAAGACTGCAGAGTATAAATTCACCCTTCATCATAGTGGCCAAAGGAAACATGTCTCGCCAAAATATGGAAGAAGTATTTCCATGTGTCATGGAGAGATTGGAAAAACTACTAGTCATTGTACATCTGCTAAATGACTTGATTTATCAATCATTTTAAAGATCAGATCAGCTTTCAATGCCTATAAACATCTGTCTAGCCACACAATGCCAAATTTAGCACAGCAAAATCCATTTAAATGGAAAGAAAAACATTGAGAGAAGCAGTATTTTCTTTGGTTTGAAGGGCACAGCTGTCCCAGTTTGTCAGTGTTTTTGAGATAGCTCATTGTTCATACATCACCTTCATTTTTTCAGTATAAAATTTTTTTCTCTACAGATTTTGAATGTTTATATTTCCTCTCCCGCCCCCAGTGAATCTTTTGTTATGGATAAATAAAGTGGAGGTGTTGCTCTATCTTTGCTAATTTTCACGTCTGAAAAGAATTTCCTGATAGATGCACTTTTCTATATTTAAGGCACTACCCATGTATCAGTGAGACACAATCTTCCCTTTATAGAGTGGTTAGTGAAGAGGATGGTTCCCTAAGGGGTGCATTTTCATCAGAACAGAGTTAGTTAACTTTGTTACTACCCTTTTGCTATCAATGAGAGTTGAGAAGCATTACCCCTCTACTGTGCTATGAAAACATTCCCTGAAGATTGGTTTGCACAGCTGGTTCATTTCAATCTAGTGCACCTGCATGTATGTGTGATAGTAATTAAAAGCAATTGTATAAATGTGAATCATATTGTTATTGTTTAGCTCTGGATAGGTGCTATGTGAGTTCAGAGAGTTTTCATAAGATCAAAGATGGTATAGAAGCACTCTCAAAATGCTTAATTTACACCCGCAATAAATGACCAGTGTGGGACCTTTTCCTGTTTCCAATCTTTTGGGTTAGGCGCTCTTATGAAAGGAGATGAATAACACAAGTCACAACACGTCCCTTTCAAAAATAAAAAATATCAGTTGCTAAATGTGTAAAGAGAGAACTAGGTGTGTTCTGCAAAGTGATCATACAGCTGCTACTGTAATGACATAGTCCTATAGTCTTCTTTCTTGGCAAAAGAACTATAAGCCGCTTTCTGGAAGTTCAGTGTATCTTGGCTTTCTTTGAAGGATTTTTGACCCAGGTTGATGAGTAGTTTTCCTGGATTAAGACTGAGTTTTATATTTATGGCAAAGATTAGATGAAAATATAGGTAGAAGCAAAATTAGCACTTTGTGAATCCTTAAAACTGATTATTTTTATCTCTTTAGTTTTTTATAAAGAAAGACCTGTCACTATGATGTCTGAATGCCTATCCACATCCATTGTTTATAGGTGTGCATGTGATTGGAGATTTAGTATGTATGTGCGTGATGTGGCATATGTTCCACAAATCAGGATGGGTAAAAATCAATGATTTTTTTTAAATTGCATGCTTTTATTTACATTAAATACACCTTTCTTCCTGAAAAGAAATCTTTTTAACATTGACAGCCTGTGTTAAGGCCAAAATGTGCTGGGATCATTTAAATAATTTTAAAGGGTCTGGTGCATCAGTGAGCTTTCTTCAAAATGTAATGAGGTAAAAGATGTTTCCTTTTCAGTTCTGTATAGAGTCAGGGAGAAAAATTCAGAAGTCCATTCAAGGTTAATGCATGTCTGTTATATATTCCATTAAATTCTGTATTGTTTCAACCTTTATAATAGAGTAAATGATGGTATTTTATATTTTTTCCAAAATTAATTTTTTTCCAAATTTATATTTTTTCCAACTTTCCAGTTTCTTTTGAACAGAAGAGTTGTGCCTTAATGACTTTTGGTTCCACAGTAACTTACAGGTGCAAAGAGAAATTTTTTTTCTTCATTTGGACAAGTTCATTCAAAGTTGAGAAACTGACAGGGTGCTGAAAAAACAGGAAAGCTTATTTTCTTCTTCCATTCTTTGAATAAAAACCCTGTGAGAGAAGATAAGATCTATTAATTCTAAAAATCTGGAGGCCATGAGATTACATTTGCAAAGATATTTAGTGCCTAAAGATGCAGATAAGGGTCTAGTTGAATTTTCAAAAGCCTGTAAGCAGTCTGGGCGCTTACGAAAATATCACTAGCATCTAAGTGCCTAAATGCCTTTGAAAATATGGCCCATGGTGATCAGAAACAATCTGTCAACTCATTAACTGCAATTAATTCTTCCTTTGTTTAATAAATCAGTTTAAAATGAAAATAAGTTTTGATAAACTCTGTTTTATTCCTATGCATTCGGAACATTTAAGGTTGGTGCATTTGATAATTGAAAAATATGTTTAAAATTTGATTTTGTACATTTTAATAGGATTTAATAGATGTACTTGGTTGGAAATTGGAAGTTAATACAAAAATCATCTAATAAGTAAGAAATGTTTAATTCACTGTTTTCTAACACAATAAAAACTAAAAAATTAATACATTTGAATATATGTATGTTCAGCTGGGTAAGTGCTTAAATAAAAATGTATCCTCCTAATTACCAAAAAGAAGTAGAACATTTACTTTAAAGGCTAAATTTTCTTGCAATCAACATGCTTTAATTGTTAGCAACCAGTGAGAATGAACCTTTCTTTAGTAAAATAACTAAAAGTATAAATGCAAGCCAAGATTCAAGTCATTCATTTCAATCAAGTTTTGTTGCTTGCGGATGTAAATCAATATATCCTGCAGAAAATAAATATAAGCTCATAATGCCTATACCAACTGGACTATTATCAATTGACAAAAATAACAAATTCCCCAACTCCATAGAATTTTAGATCACTCTTCTCAAACTACCCCCTTAGGAAATATGTGAATAAATTGATAATGAAGGACTTCAATGTGCCCTAGAGTCTATAAACTGTCCCTAGCAGGCCAATGAGGATGTCCTGTTTACAGCATCAGTGCATACAAAAATAGAGACTGATTGTAGAAATATACTCATTTTGGCTGCACAGAGAGGTGCTCTTGAAGATTTACATGACCCGAATGATACAGGACTTCATACATTAAAAACAACACAATGAATTGCATCAGGAAATGAAGTGGAGGCCAATGCAGTTCATAGAGCATCAATGTAATCTCTTCCATGTGGGGGAAGAATAGGCAACCACATTCTGCACTAGACAATTTCAGAGTGGTCTTGAAAGATAGTGTCGTATGTAATGCATTGCAGTTATCCATTGTGGAAGCTACCAAAACATAGATAATTAGAAGGTTTACATGCAAAAGGAAAGGTCAATCCTTCTTGCCAAGTGAAAATGTATTAAGGTACCCAGGGCCACCTCTACCCTCTGGGCAGCCAGAAGTAATCAACGACTTCATAACATCCAAGATCAGAAGGGAACATTGTGACCATCTAGTTGGACCTCTTATTAAACATAGATCATGGAACTTCCCCAAAATACTTCCTACGGCAGGTATTTTAGAAAAACAGCCAATCTTGATTTAAAAATTGTTGTGATGGAGAATCCACGGAGGCCCTTGGTGAATTGGTTTCACAGTTAAGAACTTTATGCCTTTTGTGACTGTGATTGCTGGAGGTGCTGGCTGAAAATGTTTTTTCCTGGCCAAGTGCAAAGAATAGGGAAGATGATCCCCAAAATAGGTGGTTTATTCTTATAATTAGATTCCCCAAACCAGTAACAAAACAGTCTCTTTAAGCCAGGCATGTCCAAAGTCCAGCCCGCGGGCCAATTGCGGCCCGTGTTCCGGTTTAATACGGCCCCACAGGTAATTTGGCAATATCTATCTTTTATGGCCCCCAACGAATCCATATGTATTGAGATGAATACATTGTAAAATCTCAGTTAATGTCAGTTGGTCTAAATCAGTTATAAATATATTTGGACACAACATGTATACTTGGTGTTATGTTCCTGTTCATATTTTTTGAACTTAAAAGTTGACAGACAACCTTTATTACCAATAATATGTAATGTACTTTACAATGTTCCTGACATATATTTCAGCTTCCTGGATTTTTTTTTCATCTGGCCTTCAGATATGAAAGGCAGAGTGATTTAACACCTGTTTAGATTTGTCATCCATGTGACGAAATGAAAAGTATGCCGTTTGCAATAAAGTTTGCATAAAATAGTTAATTTGCATTTAATTTTAATGGTTCAAAGAATGTCAGGCAAAATGGTCGGCCCTCACACATGTTCACTTCATCAAATCTGGCCCTCTTTGAAAAAAGTTTGGACACCCCTGCTTTAAGCAATCCAGACTTCAGCTCCCACAACCAAAGTCTAGATAGTGAGGGTTATTTAAAACCTTATTCACCATACATAAAGTTCTATCAACCTCCAAGAGATTGGACATATTACCGCCAGGTCAATGCATATTTCCGATTTTACCCAAATACACATTTACAGCCAAATCTTATTAACAAAATCTAAGAATTCTTAAAAAATAAAAAAAGTGAGTTACTCTGGTTGAAAGATCATTCTACATACAGATACAAGTTCTTCTAGCAGAGATGATGAGCCTACTGATTTGTAGAAGTCCTTCTGGAATCAGTTCAATAGGTTATGCACAGTTTGTTCATGAGAAACTATAGGGATAATCTAGAGTAGATGAGGAGACCTCAATCTTGCAATTTGAATTTACCCTGACAATGTTTAAACAGATGTGAGATAAACCAGGATCAAGCACTAAGCTTCTTTCATAGTTCTCTAGTAAGCTGATAGTCTCTTGACAGGAGACATCACAACAAGGGCATTCCCAGATGAAGAAGAGGCAGTGTATGTGGCTGCTTTAAAGCTAAACTTCTATTTCTTATGTATACACAGGTAAAGTAGTAGTATTAATTAACACAAGGCAAATAGCCATTCAAACTGTCAAGAGATTCCATTATGGCATAGACAATTTAAGATTAAGACAATGTAAGTGTAATATTTATTCTTAATCCTCTAATACAGGCCAACATGTTAACGTTTCATCTACTTAACATGGCTTTGATAGCTGTCTATAAGGAATGTCCTTGTTCATCATTTCAATACTTTTCTAATATGTCCTTAATAGGTTGCTTTTAATTCAACCAGCCTTTTAGGTGCTAAGACCTCACTGGCTCAGTATCACAGCCCTTATTTTCGGTCTGATTTAAAATTTTACTCCTGATTTCCATTCTGAATATCCTCTCAGTAATTGCTGTCATTGCTACCATTTTAAATCTGGACAATCTACATGGGCACCCATTTTCTTCAGTCTTTCTATTCAGCTGGGCAACATTCTGAGGACTCAATTTACCCTGATTCTTCAAAAGAGTACAAATTACACTCCATGTATCAGAAAGGGCTGCTGTACCCAAGGCAGATCCTGGTCTCTGAAAGAAGACAGTGTTTATACTTCTCTTGGGGGCTCCACTAGGGGAGAGTAGCTTTAATGTAAAGTCGTGGCCCCATAAAAACAGCTGATAGAGGCTATTCAGGGCAAGAGATGAACTAGCACATCCCCTATGTGCCTTGAGCATTCTCCCCCTTGGCTGGTTTCACTTATGGGGCTGCACTAGTTTGAAATTTGCCCACTAGCAGAGATAGGGTTGTGGGTAATTTATGCCACCACAATCCCCTGTGGGTGGATTTTCTCTGTCCTGGGTTATACTAGTGTTGTCCAGGACTGCATTATACTAGTGTTGTCCAGGACTCTTTTATCTTCTTTTGAAAGAACTTCCTCTTCTTCGTCTACACACGCCTTTTTGTGAAAGAGCTCTTTTGCAAAAAGGCTTCTTCCTCGTAGAAAGAGATTTACCAATGTCAGGAAAAAAAACCTCTGTTCTTTTGATTTTTTTTTGAAAGAACGCGATTGCAGTGTGAATGTAAGTGAATTTTTCTTTTGGAAAAATGGCCATTTTTCTGAAGAAAAAAAAAAAAAAACTCTGTAGTGTAGACATAGCCCTTGGAACTAACTTTAGTAGGAATATCAGTATGGCTGCTGATTCCGCCTTGTCTCTCACCGGGTCCTGCGTACTTTGCTCAGATCAGCAGCCCTCTGTGGCATTCTTTCTTTTGCAAATAGGTATAACAAATACATTCAAATAAATACAAATAGTGCACGTTGCCAACGTCTTAAAATAATTCCTTCAGTTTTGGAGCTTGTGTATAATCTCCAGCTACAGGGAAAAATAAATAAATATTGATTCTCACTAAGAGAAAGAAGGTTTAAATGAAGGTGAAAAATTGGTTCACCAACTTGAACTAGTATTGTGAAACCCGTAACTAGTTTGAGATTTGTGGAAAATATAATCTCTGTGAGGTTCTTCATGGTTCTACGACATGCAAATAAACTTCTAGCAATAACAGCAATATAAACACAGAATGCCCAGAGCATTTCCTGGATCTTAATGACAAGCTTGTCTGGTGCTGCCTAGAAACAAATTTTAACATTTTTTTATTCAGAAATCTGGACACAAATTGAGATTTTGGACTGGCTGCCACAATGTCAAATCTATGGCAATGATGCACTTATATTTACTGGTTATCTGATTTTTATGTGTAAATTCCATTTCCTAGCAACAGATCCCTGCAGGAAATACATTTCTGAGTGATTGTTGATTTGGGTGGTTAAAGTCATTTGACCATTTATTTTGTATCACCACTCAGTGTAATATGCTCACTAAGAAACGCATGGCCTTGCATATTGTAATGCTGAAATATCACAACATTCATTATTGAATGTCATCCTCAGTTGCAATGAATGCATATTTTGCAGCTTTTTTAACATGTTGAGTCCCTAAGTCACCCATGCATTTTTGTTCTCTTACCCATTGGCTAGCCTGTGAATAAGGAATTAACCTAGTCAATCATGTGTGAAATTGGAGTTTTGATCCCCTGCACATTCATTACATGTATCAACTGAAGAGATTAGGTACGCTAAAGATGCTGTTATTTGACTTAAGATGTTACAGATATAATTGCAGATCGGTTATGTTGTCTCTTTTGTGTTTTTATTGTTGATACAGACAGAGTTACGACATTCAGATTGTGGCTGTTGTGGACCAGACAGGCTTTAAATCTGGTAACATCCTTGATTTAAAGAATCCGTTTTTTAGGTAAGAAATGTTGTGGCTAAAAAACACCATGATTATTAATGTAGTAAAATTTAGGGTGGGGCAGTTCTTGTCTCTCAGAAATGTATCACTTTTGCTAGCTATGTTTCTGATATTACAAGCAATTTATGTTTTATATTTAGGGAAAGTAAACTACATGTTAGCATTTAGCCATTGGCATACACTTAAGAGTAATTGTGCTTCTTTTCTGCCTGGTGAGGAAAAAGCAAAGTTTAAAAAACATTGAACTGTGTCCATTGAAACAGATGCAACAAATTAACTTCAAGGCACTCTCTAAAATTAAGCCATAAAAATAAATATCAAATGAATATTCTAGCCAACACCCTGTCTCACACACAATTCTACTGAGACTAAAAATGTCAGCACTGAAATTGAGCCCTAATGCTGTTTTTGAGGCCCGGAACACAACTAACAAACACTGGTATTTTTTTTCTTTAAGAGAAATACAGGCAGCCACTTTAGGCAATATTACATGTACATTTTACTAAACCATTACAAGGGGAAACTATGAGCAGTCCCCGTAATGGTTTAGTGCTGTGGCTGGGAAGAACAGAAAGTCTGTTCCACAGAATTTGGAGATGAACCTCTTGGTGCTAGTTTACGCTCATTGCTGAAATCTGAACCTGCAGTAAAATAGACAGTGAGGCATGGCACTCATTTGAGATGAGATGCTGGTGCCAAGCACCCAATTTTCTCCATTAAAAAAAAGAAGCATCCTTCCTCAGCAATTCAGTGGGCTTTTGTTGGGCTCGTCTCTGCCACTACTCTCTGCTTTTCCCTTTGGGAAAAGTTGCCAGCTGGAGAGCAGAGCAGCCAGGAAGCAGGCCCATCAGTTCTCACAGAAGGCAGAGATCTGCGGGAATAAGAGCCTGTCCATTCCTACAGGCAGCTGCAGTGCCAGCTGGAGAGCACCTGGCTGGGTTGCAGCTGGCCCACCCCACTTGTACAGTACTGCTTTTTAGGGTAACAGTAACTTATGGCACATTGAATAGTCAACTTTTTTGGAGCTGAGCTCCTAGTAGGTATGAAAAGAGGTGACTGAAGTAATGGGGGATGTTACTACACAGCTGCCTCTCCTCTCCATGCAGTCATTTCTTCCTTCATGACCCTGTTTCCAAGGGCTTCCTGTTCACTAAGGGGGCATGCTGGCTGGCTCATCTCACCTCCACAAATCTGCACACGGGCTGTTTCCATCATCTGTAGGGCTCTTTTGGAAGGTGGCTTGGGAGGGCGAGTGATTAATTTCTAAGGCAGTTGCCGCCAGTATTCCCTGTAAGCTGTGCGCTTGTGTGGCTGCTTGGGAGAGAGTCCAGTGCCACCCAGCTGATGAGAAGAGTGCCCAAAGATAGGGGTTTTTTTTTTTAGTTTCTCCTGGTGATGCACATTCACACATGCCTCAGTGAATGTGAAAAATGTATCTCGCATGTGGATGGAAAAAAAACCCTCGTGGATGGAAAAGATTAGAGGGAACATTGGTTGCTGCCTTGCTTTTAGCTCCTTGTCACATATTCCCATTGCAGCAGCAGGAACATAAAGAATAGATGGACTCATAGAAATGGTGAAAGCTCCAGCCACAGCAAGGGGAGGGAGTGCATGTCCCCCTGCTGGGGCAGGTCCAGGTTCATTTGCCCTCTGTACTCCCCAGCCAGATTGAGGAATGGAGCAAACTGTGAACTTTCCCCTCACGCCCTGACGAAGGGGAACAGCCAGCAATGTTCCCGTACAAATGGGGGGGGGGAGGGGAGCTGCATCCTCCCCTGCCCTTGCAAAAGGGCACCTGTGAGTAGGAAGAGTCCTGGATGGGGGGGAGGCACACTCTCAGCCCACCCCTTTCACTTGCCTGGTGATTCTGTTTCTCTTCTGTGTGTGTCCTGTACATGGGAGAGGGGGCTTCAACCCCTTTTTTACTCCCACCAACCAAACCCTTACCTTGGAGGGCGTTATCATGAGAGGAAGCTGTATACCAAATTTGGTGGTCTTAGCTCTTACTGTTTAGGAGTTCTTGAACAGACAGACTGGTTTGCTCACTCACAGACAAAGAAATTATTTCAAAAGATATTTAAGTTTCTCTCTTCCCCCCCCCATGTATAAATATATATTAAATAACAGACTTTTATATCTATAATCTCCTCAAGCCTCATCAGAAAAGTCACATAGAAATTATTTCATTTGCTTAATTCAGCTAGCACCATCAGCTATCAAAGACCGTATTTTACTCTAATTACTGTGTTCTCTCCTATCCATTTTTATTTTTAGGTATGCCTAGAATATATTGTTATATGGCAAATGAAAAACAGAAACAAGAATCTCATCAAGTCAACAAACCTATGAGAGTGAAAAGCAAGTCAGGCTTGCTGGTCCTTGTGCAAAATCAGATTGTAACTGTACATATCTGTAATACAAAATTTTATGCAAGCGGTGTGATATGGGAATGTTGCAGTTCCATCCATTTTTTAAAACTGAAATTTAGCTAGGGATCACATTTGCATCACAACACATTACTTTGTTCTGAAATGCTTTGTTGATGTGCATACAATTTGGTTGGTTTTTGTTTGGGTTTTCTGCAAAATTGACATTCGTTGCTTTTTAAAGAAAAAAATTAACAAAACAAACCTACCTCATGTTTATATATGTGATGCATTGAAGAATCTTAAAAACAGAACTCAGTATTCATATTTAAGTTTTTTTGAGTTTCCTGCACAAGTTTCTTGATGGTTTCAATATGTTTAGAGCTGGTATGGACTCATTAATTCTGTTCTTTCTGAAACGTGGAAACAAAATGATCCTTTGCATATACCTTATAAATATTCTGTGATTACTCTGTGGATATAAAAGTGAAACACTACACAATTGTAAATTACTGCAAACACAGTTTACAATAAAAATTAAATATGGGCTATAAGTGAGGCTTTTACTGTTTCTGTAGCTCACAGAAACTTGTGATTGTCCAGTACTTCTAGGAACTTGTTTTATTTCTTGCACAGCAGGTCAAGAGAGAAACTTGTAGCCATACTTCAGTTTCTAATGTGGTCTCTCTCCAGACAACCTGACTCCACGAGGATAACTGGAGCAATAAATGACTGTACAATGTGTTTAAATATAGATTTCAAACTGGATACTCTCAAATGGCTGAATTAACAAATTGGCATCTATACTCACCAAGTCCTGAATGGAAATAAAGTAATGAAAAGGAACATCTAATTTTACCATTTTATTTCAGAAGCTAATCATAGACAATACACCTGATGCTATAGGAATAACAGAAACATGATGAAATACTAGGCATGACTGGAGCACAGGTATTGAAGGATATGTGCTGTTTAGGAAAGACAGAAATAAAGGTGGTGGAGTAGCATTGTATATCAATGATGAGGTAGATTGCAAAGAATTAAAAAGTGAAGGGAATGGAGAAGACAGAGTCTGTCTGGGAAAAACTCACATTGGGGAAGAAAACTATTAGATCCTCCTGTGGGATAGTGCTTGGGGTGTGCTATAGACCAACAGGATCTAATTTGGATATGGATAGAGACCTCTTTAATGTTTTTAAAGAAGTAAATACTAATGGAAACTGTGTAATCATGGGAGACTTCAACTATCCAGATATAGACTGGAGAATAAATACTGGTAATAATAATAGGGCTCAGATTTTCCTAGATGTGATAGCTGATGAATTCCTTCATCAAGTAGTTGTTGAACCAATAAGCCATTTTAGATTTGTTTTTGGTGAGTAGAGAGGACCTCATAGAAGAAATGGTTGTAGAGGACAACCTTGGCTTGAGCGATCATGAGCTAATTCAGTTCAAACTAAATGGAAGGATAAACAAAAATAAATCTGAGACTAGGGTTTTTTATTTGAAAAGGGCTAATTTTAATAAATTAAGGAAATTAGTTAGGGAAGTGGATTGGACTAAAGAATTTATGGATCTAAAAGTGGAGGAGGCCTGGGATTATTTTAAGTTAAAGTTGCAGAAGCTATCAGAAGCCTGTATCCCAAGAAAGAGGAAAAAATGTATAGATAGGTGTTTTAGACCAACTTGGCTGAGCAAGCACCTCAGGGAGGTGATTAAGAAAAAGCAGAAAGCATATAAGGAGTGGAAGATGGGAGGGATCAGCAAAGAAAGCTACCTTACTGAGGTTCAAGCATGTAGGGACAAAGTGAGAGAGGCTAAAAGTCATGTAGAGTTGGACCTTGCAAAGGGAATTAAAACCAATAGTAAAAGGTTTTATAGCCATATAAATAGGAAGAAAACAAAAAAAGAGGAAGTGGGACTGCTAATCACTGAGGATGAAGTGGAGGTTAAGGATAATCTAGGCATGGCCCAATATGTAAACAAATTCTTTGCTTCAGTATTTAATGAGGCTAATGAAGAGCTTAGGGATAATGGCAACATAACAAATGGGACTAAGGATATGGAGGTAGATATTACCAAATCCGAGGTAGAAGCCAAACTCGAACATCTTAATGGGAGTAAATCAGGGGGCCCAGATAATCTTCATCCAAGAATAGTAAAGGAACTGGCACATGAAATTGCAAGTCGGTTAGCAAAAATTTTTAATGAATCTCTAAACTCAGGCCCCGGCTGTGTCTACATTGGCATCCCTTTCCAGAAAAGGGATGTTAATAAGACACTTCAGAATTGAAATTCCATGGGGGATTTAAATATCCCCCGCGGCATTTGCATTAACATGGCTGGGC